TGGCTTCAAGGAATTCCTAAAAGTCAACTCCTCCGCTTACGTAGAAATTGTTCCCTTACACAAGATTTTGAGGAACAATCTCAATTGTTGTCCAATAAATTTCTCCAAAAAAAACTACCCTAGGAGTGACTTAGATAAAACATTAAAGAATATCAGTGAAACCAACAGATCACAATTATTAGAATATAAGACTAATAAAGAAACCAAAACTGCCCCAATATTGCCAATTATTTTCGACTTCAATAACAAAAGCAATGTTTTGAAGAAGATTATAAAAAAAAAAGGGATTTAAAAACGAGACTAGCCGAGCATTGCAGAAATATTCTAAAAGGTTACGAAAACCATTCAGTCTCGAAACACTTCTTACAACATGGAAAGAATCCAAAATTTCTAAAATGTATCGGTATTGACACATGTAATATTCCTTGGAGAGGGGGTGACATTAAAAAAGTTTTAGGTAAGAAAGAAATGGAATGGGCATATAATTTAAAAACTCTTGCCCCTACAGGGTTAAATATTGATTTTGATCTTTTTAACTTTTTGTAATAACCTAGATTGTGCTTTTATTATTATTAATTTTTTTGTATTCTTTTTTACTATTCAATTCTGTGCTTATACATGTCAATTTTATTTTATAACTATTGTTATTATTTCTCTTATTTTTTACATTGAGTATATTTCATATTTTATATTTGTACTCATTACATGTATTTTTTATATAGATTATATTTTATTATGCCCCAGTTATTTATTTATATACTGTGGTGTGTTTTGTATATTTGTATTATACTGAGGGTGCTGCCGGAGCTGGCTTGGAGGCTCTTGGGGGATTGAGATCTCCCTCCTCCTATTCGAATTTTTATTGAGCAGCCCTCCCATCTTCTGACGTATGCGTTCCGTTCGCTTTGGAACGCATGCGTCCTATCCCAGCACCACGTGACGCGGAAGTAACTAGAGTCGCTCGTCACGTGATTATGACGCATGCGTTCCATGTAGACGGAGCGCATGCGTTCCACTTGAGCATCACGTGACGCGGGAGTAATTTGAGCCGCACGTCACGTGATTGCTTTCTTTTATGTAATTTTAGCTTTATTAACTCTCGTTTTTATATTATTTTTATACATCTATCTTATAATCCTTTTTATTATATCAATACATATTATAATAATTGGTTTTGAACATCACTATAATATTAACGTTTTGATGACGTCATTTTGGCGGAAATTTTAAATCTTCATAACATTATTGTATGTTATATAAACCTTTGAATGTCAGGTGTGCCCTTCTTTTACTATTATCTACTTGATGAAGCCTTTTGAGGCGAAACGCGTCTACATATTATTTTAATTACTTTATAATAAAGAATTTAATTTGGCATAGAACACTTTATTGCCATTTCTTTTTATATTCTTTTTATATTTTCTATTTATAATTTTATTTTTATTTGTGCACCTGATCTACACCCATAAGGAACCCAAAGAATCCATAGGTGGGGATTATACCACCCAGGCGTTTATACCGAGCAGTATAGACCTGCTCTATAGAATGTAAGTAATATACTTTACATCCTTTTGCTTTACTGTATACAGAGAGCACTATATTCTTATTCTCTCATTTTGGGTTGAATAATATTTACTCGAACATGGAATTTGGGCCAGAAACTCTCCAATCAAACACTACTTTACATATCCTTGAGTGGGGATTGTTCCACTTCACGCGCTTAATATCAGAGCTAGGATCTAGCTCTGAAGAGTGTGAGTACGGCTATTTTATTATTTTAGATTTTTATTCCCGCTGATATACTGTACCATTGGAGTTCCTGTTTCTGTTTCCCTTTCATATATTCTTCATTGGATTCGAGTACATCACTGTGAAGATTCCACTCCATTTGACGTCTCAGGATTTCCTGTTTCCTCAAAAGATCTCACCATTACGGACTCTTGATAAGTGTTTTGGACTATTGTTTTATTACCATTTTATATTTATCATTACCATTTTATATTTACTTTTATTATTTTATCTTATACTGTGTATATGTTTTATTATACATTTTAGGCGCACTCTTATCCTTTTTTTATTTATTTTTACCTGTTATAACTCAACAACCTGCAGTGCCTTAGGCCTCCCACTACAAAAGCCCTTCTATAAACCTGACACCTCCTCCTAGATTCAGTGGTGACCCCCCAAGGAAGTTGTGAATTCTTGAACCAAATAGACTACCACTTTGATGCTTCGCCTAGATCTTTTCCTTCAGACCGGGCCAAAATAGGTTATTTCATGAACCAGTTGACTGGCAAGACTTTGGCATTGGCAAACCCTTTATGGGAATACAAGCGTTCTATAGCTTATAACTACAAGGAGTTTAAGCTATCATTTGAACCACCAGGGAAGGAGAAATCAGCTGCTAAAGCCTTGATTCTTTTCAAACAGGGTAATCATTTGGTATCAGATTATGCCATAGAATTTTGTATGTTGGCTCATAAAGTCGACTGGACCAATAGTGGCTTTGTAACAGCATTTGCTGAGGGCCTGTCTGAGACCTTATTGCGTGAAACTGCCGCTATTGTGGGGATATTTATGGGATGATAATATTAAGCAGTCGAGAATTGCCCACTTTTTCAATTCTCTTAGATCGTTTATCATGTAAGTGAAAAGTATTCCATAAATAATTCACAATCTGTTATAAAAATAGATTTTATTATTATTGTAACAAATTAATTAACAATAATATTAGGCAGCATGCATAATAATTATCGGTGAATAGTTAGTATAACATAGTATACAATACAATGGAATGGGTATACACGTTTCAATGGCTAAACAGCATTTTCTGTCAAGACTTACACGATTTATGAGGTTATCCTTACAGACAAAAAGTGAAGCTTTTCACAGCGAAGGGGCATAAAACCCTGGCTAACAGATCAACTGAATAACCCCTTCAATGCTGGCTAGTATCCTATTCTCCTGTGATTTTCAATTAAAATAACATTTAAACCAGTTCATTAGTCATTTCCTGGAACCATCCAATAAGAATAATCTACCAGATTTTTACAAAAACAAAACCGAATTTAAATTTGTCTAAAAAGATATCTAATCTTATATTAGAGCAAATCAATACACCTGGATAAAAACAGCGGTATGCTAACACGTGATACTATCACATTAATATATAATTATTCTTAATTCCACCTGCAGAATGGAATGTTTATAACTATATATTCTTTAGTTAACTAAGATTTCTAAATATTGAAATCTGACCGTGGTTTATCGAGTCATATATCATGCTATTAGTAAATTTTAATTAATTTAAATTAATTAAATAAAACCAGCATAATTACCAGTTATGTAGATATTCTCATCAGATGAGTAGGTAGTCCCCCAGACTTGATTGGTTGTATCTAGGTGCATGAGTTATAGTGAAAGGTGGTGTTGGTTAGAAAGTCAGTAAAATTCTAAGTGTTAGAGTTTTAAGAGTAGAGTGTTAGTCCCAGAGATTGTTTCTTGAGCCTCTCTCTCTGCATGTCCGACTTGGAATCCCCAAACTTCCAATTCCTCTCTCTCTGTCTCCAACTCCAACTACCCTCTGTATCCCTTCGTCCTTACTTTTAAAGGGCCAGACTCTTTGTACGTCATTAGTTGATAACCCAATAGGAAGCTGTAGGTGTGTCCAATCTATGGGTCGCAATTTAGGTATTTGATCCATAGATGGCAGTCTCGTCTAACGAAACCTTCCTATCCAGGAAAGAGTTAACTTTTCCTGATGACGATTTTGACGTCATTTGGCTTATCCAAAATGACTACCATAACTTAGATTTGCTGTCAGTTCAAAGCGTTTATCTCAGTCTTTGTGGCAACTACTTTGGTCGTAACTTGTAAAATTGAAAGTTCTAAACTCAATTTCACCCCTTTCTTACAATGGTACCTTGTAAAATTTAGAAAGTAAAATTAATTACTTAGTCTTCTCTGTGTTTAGATAATACATTCCTTTAACATTTAGACAGAGCATTCCATCCCCCTTGCTTAATTGCTTATCTTGGTTAGTGAAAGTAAGAAGAAACTATGTCTCTGTTATCCTGAAGATAGCAAAATGGAGTCTGTTTTGTTCTGAGTGGCTGTGGCAATATACACTTTTTTTTAATTTTTTTTTTATATTCTTTATTTTTGGAGTGCAGCGGAAACAAACATTGTTTGACAATGACATATAGTTAAGTTGCATTATAAATGATTACAGGCTTAAAGTATAAACATAGTATGTCAGGAGAAACTGCACACATTTTTTGGTTGAAAATGTAAAACAAGAGTGAATTGCTGCGCCAGCGTTTACATACATGCTTATTATAACTTGTTGAAATGGCCAAGCGTTGTACATCACATTGGTAAAATCTGAGACATAGCTTGCTAAGGACTTGCATTATTACAGGCTATAATAATAGGCTAATGAAGATGTAGTTTAGTACAAGCTGTTATTACCACTGGGAGACCAGGCCCTGCTGCAGAAATGATTGGGGCACTTTCACTAAATAATATAAGATAAAACACTGTAAAGTGGTGTGGCTGACTGAGGCTTAGCAGAGGCTCACTGGTTGAGCTGAGTTAAACTAAGGGCACAACATTTAGTAGGTGTCTAATTTTTTAGCTGCATCATTTTATAATAATAGAGACATCAGGCCACAGTTCTATCCTGTCAGGTGGCTGGTAAGAGTAAAAAAGAGTTAAGGAGTTAAGGACAGAACTGCAGCTTTACAGTGGGAGATAAAATGGTCACCTCGAGGGCCCTTGTGGCCGAGTTCTAGGTCGGTCGGTTGGTGAGGTAAGTTTATCATTGGTGCTGGATCTCGCCTGTGTAGTCCCCATATAGTGCAGGTTTAATTCAGCAGGGCACATAGGCAAAACTTCCAGGTGATTCTCTGCTCCGCCAGTGTCCTCTGTGTGCTTCTCAAGCTGCATGCCGGCTGTCAGGTGTGCTTGCTGCCCGTTCATGTCAGGTTGGGGAAGGTTGTCTAGCATTTCGGTAGGGGTGTGCGGCTCTTTACGTTGGAGACCAGTTCTCCGTCTCGGCTGGAAGGTAGGGTTTTGTCCGTGGAGTGTCTCTTGTCTTTTCCGCGGGGGATATGCTGGCTCGTTGTGCCCCCTTCGCTTCGCCGGCCTCTGGTCTGCTGAGGTGCTACAATGCGTGCAGGTGGCTGTTTGTTGTTGATTTCTGGCCAGTTGGTGCTTAAATCTGTGCTGTCAGGCTTGAGCGTGGGGGAAGAGTATTCCTTTCCTCTGCCGCTAGCGCACATGGCGTCCACCATTTTGGGCGAGGTGCCGAGGTCGCCGCTCTGGGTGGTCTCATTGCTGGGCCTTGATTGTGTTGCAGCGGTCGGTGTCCCAGGGCAAGGACCGGGATCACCCCCCCGGTCCAGAGGGGGGGGAGACAGGGCCAGTTCCACTCTGCTCTGGGCCTTCAGGTCAGGCACTGTTAGGCGGGATAGTGGGGCAGCGGCCGTCCGCCCCTCTCACCGCCGGAGTAGGCCCCATCTGGGACTTCAAAGATTCCTCCTCCAAGGGACTGAAGCTCGAGGAGCCAGCCTCTCCCTGGATCCAGTGCCTCCCTTGGGCCGATGGTCTTTGCTGTTGGTCAGCTTTTAAGTTGAAATTTATAGTTTTAGAGGCTTAAAGTTTAGAAAATTGCAGGAGCTGTGCATTCTTGTGACCGTCCAGCTCGGCGGTCCGGCCCCGCCCCCCGGCAATATACACTTTTAATTTCTTTTTAGCACAAAATGTCTGTTGATATAAATATTCTGACACTATAGTCTAACCTGAAAGGTAGAATGACTTTATCATGTACATGACGCATATAGATAATAGACTCAGTAAAAGGGAGAGGTTGAAAGGCAGACCAAAGCGCTTGTCTGTTCCTTTGGCTCTTCATTTTTCTCCTTCCCCTGCTTCTTCCCAACCTGATCCTGAAACCATGCAGTTAGGGATAACTAAAGTATTGGAGGCTGAGAAGCAATACAGGATAGGTAAGGGATTATGTTTGTATTGTGGCAAACAAGGTCATTTACATTTAGCATGTCCCATCCATCCTGAAAACTTACGCACCTAAGGACCATTAGGGGCCAGCCTTAGTTGTACATGTCCCCTAATATGCCTCTAAGTAGATTTCTGCCTCATTAGAGATATTTGCCAGAAGCTCAAGGAAGCAAATTGAAGGGTCAGAGTAAGACCCGTCTAGGGGTTCTGCCTTGATGTTGGCAGGCGGGCATTCCCTCCAGTGGCCATTGGAGTAACTAAATGACCTCCATTTGTTTAAAGGAACACTATAGTCACCTAAATTACTTTAGCTAAATAAAGCAGTTTTAGTGTATAGATCATTCCCCTGCAATTTTACTGCACTATTCACTGTCATTTAGGAGTTAAATCACGTTGTTTCTGTTTATGCAGCCCTAGCCACACCTCCCCTGGCTATGATTGACAGAGCCTGCATGAAAGTAAAACTGGTTTCACTTTCAAACAGATGTAATTTACCGTAAATAATTGTATCTCAATCTCTAAATTGAACTTTAATCACATACAGGAGGCTCTTGCAGGGTCTAGCAAGCTATTAACATAGCAGGGGATTAGAAAATCGTAATTAAACAGAACTTGCAATAAAGAAAGCCTAAATAGGGCTCTCTTTACAGGAAGTGTTTATGAAAGGCTGTGCAAGTCACATGCAGGGAGGTGTGACTAGGGTTCATAAACAAAGGGATTTAACTCCTAAATGGCAGAGGATTGAGCAGTGAGGCTGCAGGGGCATGTTCTATAAACCAAAACTGCTTCATTAAGCTAAAGTTGTTCAGGTGACTATAGTGTCCCTTTAAATATACATAGGGATTAAGGAGAGAGTGCAGGTAACTTTTTTCTTTGGTTTTTACTCTAAGTAGATTTCTGCTTCCCATCTCTCTATTTTGGAGTGGTACTGTTGCTGCTGCTGAAAATGTTATCGATGCAGAATATACTCACTTGCATCAAGTACCACTAAGAAGCAGGAAGCAGAACAACACCTTTGGCGTTCAGGCCAGAGATGGTAGACCCCCTCAAGAATCTTCGATTGCTCAGAAAACCTGTTCTGATACTCTATCCATAGGTGGTTTACATAAGGAGTCTATTGTTTTCCAGGGTATAGCCTCTCCTACCTATCCTGTTGTCTTAGGTTTCCCATGACTTTGTTTACACAACCCCACATAGACTGGGTTCAGGGGGAAGTATAGTGATGGGGTGATTCATGCAGGGAAAGATGCATACAACCTGTCAAACCTATTGATACTATTAATGTACCTACAGCCACGCCTTTATCTATGGAAATCCCTTCTCAATATATGTCTGTTAAAGAGGTGTTTAACAAGAGCCATGCTGAATCCTTGCCACCACGTAGACCTTACAACTGTGCCATCAATTTGTTGCCTGTTAATATGCCTCCAAGATGTTGTGTGTATCCATAGTCTCCGCAAGAAAGCGTGACAATGGAGGAATACATACAAGAATCTCTCTCTAAGGGTTTCATACGCCGCTCCTCTTCTCCTGCTGGTGCAGGTTTTTTGAGACCCTGTATAGACTATAGAGGCCTAAATAAAATAACCACAAATAATGCCTATTCCATTCCTCTTATATTGGAATTGTTCAATAGACTCAAATGGGCTACCATTTTTACTAAATTAGATCTCCGCAGTGCTTATAATTTAGTAAGGATAAAGGAGAGGCATGAATGGAAGACTGCATTTAACACCAGGAGTGGGCATTATGAGTATTTGATCATGCCCTTTGGTCTGTGCAACACACCCGCTGTCTTTCAGGACTTAATTGATGATGTCTTGAGAGATTATATACACTCATATGTCCTAGTATATCTTGACGATATACTCATCTTCTCTCCTGATTTCTGCTCACATCACATGCATGTGAGGACAGAGCTACAGACATCACTTAAGAATGGTCTTTATTGCAAATTGGAGAAATGTCTATTTGATCAGACCTGTAACGGAGTCTTACCTGATAGGGAGTCCAGCTCGCAGAGTTATACGCTCACCCTTGCAAAGTAGACACAGACCAGGGTGACCAGGTAAGACGCCACCTGGCCTGTGAGTCTGTGCACGGGGGCTTTCCAGGAAAGGTGCTCCAAGACTCAGTACAGCAGGGATAAGCAGAAGCGTGGTCAAGGGAAGCCAAAATCAGGGAAGCCAGAGGTCAGAGTAGTCCAGGAGGAAAGCCAAGGTCAGAAGCCGGAATAGACAAGAATCACTGGAACGCAGGTACGGAGTAACAGGAACCAAACAAGGGAACCAGAGTCAATGAACTGACACCCCTCCCAGGGTGAGGCAGGCTTTTATATCCTGTTAATTAGGATCAGATTCAGCTGGAGAGTAACTGACAGATCAGAGCCTTTGGTGAAGTCCAGACCCCTAGTGCTGCAGGCAATACAAGAATAAAACAGGAGTTATCCAAAGTCCTGAAATGGCTCAGAGGGAAACTAACAGGACACGGTCCAGAAGGACCACAGTTCAAATCCCCTATCGGGCGCTTCCGGAGCGACCATGTCTGTCAGACTGGATGTCACGGCGTGAACCGTGACAAGACTGAACTTCAATTAATAAAACTAAAATCAGTTGGTTTATGTGAACAATCGTGTTCTTTGATTGAACACTAGCTTAAATATAGAGTGCAGAGAGTAATTGTAAATGGAAATTTTTATATTGGACAAAAGTAGTAAGTGGAGTACCTCAGGATTCTTTCCAGGGAGAGTACTGGGCAGACAAGTGCCATATGAGATTCAATACAGATAAATGTGGTAATGCATTTTGGAAAAAAGGAATCCACAAGCCACTTCTACATTGTGGGGTAGAGTTAGGGATAACATTAAATGAAAAAGACTTGAGAACTAGTTTAGATCACAAACTAGGCAACAGTATGCAATGCCAGTCTGCTAGTACAGTGCTTTTATGTATAAAACGGGGATTTGATTCACTTGATCCAAATATAATTTTGCCTCTTTACAAATCAATGGTAGGACATCACCTTGAATATGTGATGCAACTTTGTGCACCAGTTTTAAAGAAGGATATTGCAGAGGTGGGCTACAAAGCTAGCAAGGGGGAAGGGAAATATTAATTATGAGGAAAGGCTAGAAAAACTGGGATTGTATTCAACAGAGGATATGTGATAACACTAAACAAATATATACAGAGCCAGTGCAAACTGCTATGTGCTAACCTATGAATTAGTAGAAGTATATAACAAGAGGTCACCCATTTAGACTGAAAGAAAGGTTTTTTTACAGTAAGAACAATAAAGATGTAGAATACTCTGCCTAGAAATGCTGTATTATCAAATTCTATAGAAAAAAAACATAAATGCTTTTTTTGCATAAACAGAATATTCAAGGATATAATTGGATGTAAAAATATATATGTATATAAACAGGTTTCCGTCAGGAGAGAGATATGGATTCAAGAATTATTATTTTTCCCACTTTTTGTGAATATATTTAAACTGCATGGCATGGTTTTTTTGCAAGCCTTCTATTATTCCTTGCACATCATTGCAGGCTTGTCCACTGCCTTCCACCCTCGGTCAAATGGACAGACCAAAATAACTAATCAACCCTCAAAACTTTTCTCCATTGTTACACTACCCACCTACAGTCCGACTGGAAGAATTTATCATCTGCCGAACTGTCATACAATATTAACCTAATTCTCCTGGTCTTCCTACTCTCACTCCCATTCCGCATGCAAACAGCCATGTCCTACAACTGTGCCAAGGATTCACATGTGCACAAAGAATGTTGTAGGACAGGCTACTTTCCTATAAGATATACAGTTCATAACCGGGGAACCTCTCCTACACATACCGAGGGTCAATTCGTTTGGATATCAACAAGATATTTAAAAGTATCCTGTGCTTTCCAGAAATTGGGACCAAAGTACAAACTAAATTTTACCTGTGATGGCACAACTTGACTTCCCCAAACAATATCACATCCAACAATTTGTTTGTGGAGAATTCTATATTCCATGTTTTTTTGCTGAAACTCATGAAGGACAACCTCTTCCCTACTCGAACTCCACCGCCTCAGAACCTCATTGTAACGGATCGCCTGGCACCCCGACTGGGTACCTCCGTTAAAGGATGCTCCTAGCGCTTCCTGAGGACTCCAAGCACTGCAGCAGACACCACAACCACCGAACTGGAGAAGCATATGAATCCTCTCAAGCATATGAATGCTGTAGACAGTTGAATAGGAACCATACGAATAGGTTTACTCTCCTAG